TTATTTATTTGTTTGTTTGTTTATAATCAGGGAAAACCAGGATCCCCGTTGATCACTAAACTGAAAAGCTTCTCACTGTAGAAAAATGAATACAAATAATAAGCAACATAAACTATAAAAATTAACCACCTTTGCATTGAGGAGCAGGTGCACTCCAAATTCCATTTTTTTCTGCATCAGAACTACAGTGAATAGTTTCTGCCCCAATAAGTGAGAAAGGGACTGAACCTCTCGGCACATCATTGCACTGGTAAGTTACTGATGTCCCATAGGTATAATCTTCCTGTTCAGAGTGTTTCCCGTTTTCTATGTCTGGAGGTGATAAACATGGAATTGCTGCAAGATAAAGAAGAAAACCGTTGTTTAAGAAGCCACAGCAAAGGTCATAAGATACAACATCTATAAGCAACAGCGCAGTCATTCAGGCAAGTAAAAATATTTACAACAAGTTTAACTATTTTTCCTGCAAAATTTAAAGGGAACTGAACTGTCAAGGTATCTACTACAGACAAACTGACTTCACGTTAAGAATACTGGTTATACATAGCAATTCCCCCAAACTAACTAACGCATCCGATAAGTTGTCTTAGTGTAGTAAAAAAAACCACAGAAAAATCTAGGACACCACCAAAAATATCAGAAAGAATAAAGAAAAAGTGGAAGTGTATAACATAATGCAGATTTTTCTATTAGAATTAATTGATAACTGTTATGCTATTACGGTCAACAACAGGAAGTCTGGAAGCCATGTTGAAGAACACCAACACACACTGCTGTTTCATTACAGAACTGCAAACAAGCAGTATTCTATTAACATTTCTGCAATGACAGTTTCCAAAAAAACCCCAAACAGATGAAGTTCTCTCTCTAAGAACATTATGTACTTACACCTTTAAGGACTGGATAAATGTTTTCCTAAAATCCCACTGTAATATTCCCTCACTAGGTTAAGCGTAGCTGCTTATACATCAACAGCCAGAACATAAAAACACAAACAAAAAAAAAGTCTACAGATTCATGGTAACGTTACTTGCAAATAAAACTAGTTATGAAATAAGAATCTAGTGGCGATACAAACAAATTCTTTAGACAATCTCGTAGTCTTAGGGAATAAAAGATTTCTGTATGAAAACTTCAGTCAATGACGCCAAGACTTGCATCTTATCAGTTCATAGGACTAAAAATCTGTAACGTGCTCACTGGAAAATACTGCCAAACAAAACAGTTACCCTATAGTAGATTCATAGATTCACAGATTCAGGGTCGGAAGGGACCTAGTAGATCTTCTAGCCCGACCCCCCGCCAGGGCGGGAGAACAACAAAAAACCCCAAAAAGAGAAATGGGACTCAAACGAGTCCAGCCAGGTAGGCATCCAGCCTCTTCTTAAAGACCCCCAGGGTAGGGGCCAGCACCACTTCCCTTGGAAGTTGGTTCCAGCTCCTAGCCGCCCTAACCGTGAAGTAGTTTTTGCGGATGTCCAATCTATACCTCCTCTCCATCAGCTTGTGCCCATTACTCCTTGTTATGCCAGCGGGCGCTAGGGGAAACAGTGTCTCCCCCAAACCCCTCTGGTCCCCCCTAGTGAGTCTATAGACAGTCACCAGGTCCCCCCTTAGTAACGCAGCTTTCCTTTGATTCAGTCTGACACTTTGAATTAGACTGAGGCCAATCACAACTTCCAGTGATCCATTAATCCGGAGTTAATCACTGTGATGGATCATTCAAAAGGTAAATTTGTACAAAGGTAAAATCTTCAATTAAAGTTTGAATTTGGCTCATAGACACTAGCTACCATAATTTGTACAGCCTTACTCCAGTCCTGCCTTCACAAATGCATCCATTAGCTTGTAACATAGTTAAGAAGCTACTTTATTTTCTAAAGTCATAAGTTTCCTTTAATGTACAATAAGCCTACTGCATAGAATAGCATAATGAAAACCTGCTCTTAGACATATAACAGTATCCGTTTAACTCACGCTGGCAGTGTGGAATTTGTTTATCCCAAGCAAGATGTTTGTTAAACATTACACATTGACTAGATCGTGGTCCAATTAATCTGTACCTAAGGAGGAGAAAAAAAGGAAATCCTTTCAAATAAGTTACTGGAAGCTCCCAGCCAGCAGCTCATACACATGAATATACTTCTGTCCTACCAACAGATGAAGCAGCAGCACCAAGTTTTTAAGCTGCAATTCTATTTGGCCAAGTATTCCAAACACCAAAGCCAAAAGAACGGCGCACAAAAACAGTGATTCCAACGCGTAAAGTCAATGAAGGTCTGTTTTTCAAGATGTGTAACCCTCACTGTGGCTCACTTTTTGCGATTACCAAAGCAGCATGAATATACTGTTAAAGAAGGTAAAAACTGACCAATTTAAAATCTCGGTGTTTTTGTCTTCATTTGTTTGAAGCAGGACCTTGACACTGTCAGGTCTCTAGAACAGTCACTCTCAACCAGGGTGTCATAGCACCCTGTGTGCCTCAAGATCCTTTCAAGGGTGCTGCAGGGTGCCACACAACATTTTAGGGTCACAACTGTGACTGACAAGAGGAACCCAGAGACTTTAAACAGAAGTCTATAGTTGTGGTGTTTGAGTTCTTTGAAACAGAAAAACTGATCTGTTCTACTGTAGGCAAAAGAGTGGAAACTAAGAGCTAGCATGTTCCAAGGGGTGCCTTGAGTAAATCCATGGGGTTCTCAAGTATAAAAAGTTTGAGAACCACCTGTTTAGAGAAACCAGAAGAGCTACTAAGAATGTATTCAATGCATTTAATACACAACATTTCTTTGGTAGGAACAAAGATGATTTTTTAAAGTAGCTCTTGGAATTTAAAAAAAAAAAATGCTTGAACGAAGACTCTCTTTGAAAAGGGCTGCTGCAACTGAAAAAGTTAAAATATTAGACCCTAAAGAGCAGAAAAAACACCCACTTCTTTTATAATGGAAACTCCAGACTCAACCTTTTCAAATTGGACGTACAAGGCAAGCGTAATTTCAGACTCTTCAGGAACACACAAAAAGCCTTCAGAAATGTTTAAGTCTACAATATTCTACTAAAAGACTAAGTCTTATTTTGGTGCTGGCTAAAAAACACAGTAGTACAAGAGAGAAGGAAGGAAAAGCATTCATTGAAATACTTACCCATCATTACAAGAAAATGTTACTGTTGAATTTAAAACAAGATCAGTCTCTGTATGAACAGAGCCATGTTGCAGGTCTCCTGGATGACCACAGAACTTACCTGAAAGGGAACAAAGATGGGAAATTAGGTGTCCCTAAAATATATTAACGTCACACTTTCTAGTTTTCCAAAATTTGAACGTCAGTTGCTTTTAGAAACCCCCAGATCGCAGCTCCCCCTGAGGCGGGGGGGCAGACCCCTCCTCAATTGAGCACACCCCATCACACTGCATCTCACAGGAAGAGAAGGGACCCCAGACCTCCAACTTGCATGGGGAAAAGAAGGAGGAAGTGAGGCTCAGGCCTCCCAAGCCTTGGCACACACGGTGAGGGACCTCTTAGGCTGACAAATAGCTCCGAATACAAACCCACCTACTCATCCTCCCAAACACCTCATCTCAGCACTCTGATGCCCCCAAACTGAACCCCCACAACTACCTGTCTCCATACTCACTCTTCTACTCTGCAGAACCCCAAGTCTTTTTTTACTCCGGCAAATATTCCAGGACACAAACACTCACATGCACCATTTATTCTCTTTGTAAAAAGCAGCACTCACACTTCATGGATGTTCAGATTCAGATTTCTAAGCCGTAAGCTGCTTGGACTGAAACAGACTGTAATCAAGTGCCTACTTTCCCCCCAGGCTTCTTCCCAGCACCCAATTCAAACAACTGCTCGTTGGGTGTTGCTCAGGTTCAACAAGCACAGCATGTCCCCTAGACTGAGCCACTTGGGTCACGAGAATGCCACCTGTTCCGCTACGTTCCAGGTTTCCTGTGGTCATATCAAACTGGTTATACTGTGCGTTAGTTTTTCACACAAGTGGTAGTGGTCTAGGCTGC